ATTTTTAATTAGGATAAATATTGAATAGAATATGAGTAACATATCTTGGTTTGAAGAACTTGAGTTGGCTAGTGATATTTTTAATAATGCTAACTAGCATTTTAAGAAAATGAATCCAACTTAACCTTGAATCTGTAAAATTATGATATCTTCACTACATTTTAATTGAAATTGAATGTTTAATTTAAGAATTCTAAAAGGTTTTAGTCATACAATTGAATTGAGCAAACATTATTATAGAAGTATATTATATAATTTAATCATGAGATGTAATGAAATAGTATTCCACAAATAAAAATGAGATGCATCCTAAGAATTTTAGAAATTCAATTAGAAGTATATGATATGATAATTTATTATGAAACATTAAACAATTTAGGACTAGAGACTTTAGATTTATTGTATTTAGATAATGCAGCTTGGAAGTAGATTACCATTTTTGGGATATAATATATTTTATGATAGACTTGTTAAGGCTTTGAGTAATATGAAAAAAATTTTTAAAATGGTAAAATTAATAGATATGGAATGGCTTCATGGGTTTGTTTTAGAGCTAGACTAGATGAAGATAGAATTTATGTTCCTTTAGAAAAGATGGTTGAAATTGCAGATAAAGTAAGTGGAAAAGTTCATCATTTTGAATAAGTCTATTTCATTGTTTTTAATGCTTCGTTATTAGATTCCTGTGTTAAATGTAGTATGAATATTGCTTGGATTATCATAATGGTTTTCAAATATATATATGATTAATTTTAAAAACAGATTCCTCATTCAGCATAAATATTATTGATCATAATTTTATTACATAGTTAAAATAAATAATTATTATTATCACTACCATTGTTAAATAGACTCTATATTAGATGAAAGTAGAATATAACATTAATTATTGGAAACTACAATAAAACCCTTATTAATGATCCATTCGATCAACAGACTTATCCAATAATCACTAAAATATTTATTTTAGCAATTGAAACCTGATATCGAAGTAAATAACCTAGAAATTTTAATACCTGCAGAGAATTCAGAATTAATGCTTTTATTATAGAATTCTAATTGCCATGTAATAAATTATCATAAATTCTTGATTCATTACTGATTTAAGATTAAAAATAATGTAGAACATATATTTAAAAAAATAATAAGAATGATATGAAAGTACCTTTGAATGTATAATTTAATTAAGTATTTTTAACATTAAAATAAGAAATCTTAGCCATAAAAGAGGTCATCCTCATTTAATAATGAGAACAAAGAGAATATTTCATAATAATCTATTCCTAATAAATCATAATAGGTTATTACATCAACTTCTAGCATAAAATTTCATATTATGACAATCTTTACATGAATAATAAAGAATGATAAATCTATAAAGCATATTCACTAATAGTATGCATATAAACCCTTTGATTTAATAATAAATCAATTAAGTAAACAAAAAACAAAGAATCAGTTTACAAAATCATTAATTCCCATTTAATATTCAGAATTAATAAAATAGGTAGAGAAGAGGGTTGTTTTAATTGTTTTAATAAATGATCAATTAATAACATATTATGTGCTCATTCCAAACCTCAAGAAAACTTCAAAAAATATCAAGTTAATTTTGATATAATTTATCATTTTTTTGTATCATTATTAATTTAAATAATACTAATATATTAAATTTAAATTATTAATCAAATTTGTTTAACAATATGTGAAATTAGATCTAAATATTTGTAATACTTCTAATGAAAAAAAATATTACAACAAGACATAATTTAAAAAATTCATTAAATTTTCTCAAATTATTGAAATAATTATAAAATTAATTAAAAATGTATGCTGTAGGAATTTGAAAAGATTAAGATGCACATATAAGTAATGTAACTGCTGTCATGGCAATTGCAAATGTTGTAAAACAAGTCTTGGACCATAAGGATTAGATAAAATGCTTGTTGATGAAATTGGAGATGCTGTAATAACAAATGGTGGAGTAACCATTGTAATATAACTAGAAGATGAACATCCTACAGCTAAATTATTGTAGAGTTGAATTAATTATAAGATAAAGAAATAGGAGTTGACAGAACATCAATTGTTATTTTAGCAGCTAAATTACTTCACTGATTTACCAATACAATTATTTCTGGATATAAATTAAGCAGCCACAGTAAAATATATTCAACTGCATTTCATACATAAAATAATTGAAGATGACACTGATATATTAATTCTGCTAAAATTACTATTAAAAGTAACAGAAAGCCACAACTTTGCTAAGTTGGCTATAGATACTGTTAGAGTGATTAAGACTGAAAATCTAGATTTAATTTAAGTTAAATATTCAATAAAATCAATTAATATTATAAAAAGTATTATTATAATAGATGGTAACAAAATTTAAGAATGTATATTAATTAAATAACTAAATTGTAAATGGGAGTTTAAATATTGATTAATGATCCAAATAATTTAGAGAAAATCAGAAAGAAGGAAATTATTTTAATTTCAAAGAGAATGGATGATTTAGCTATTAATATTTAGTAAAAGTAGGTGCAATAGGTTTCAGTAGAGTTCCTGTAACACTTGTTTAGGAGAAGCTGAAGGAATGAAGAAGAATAATCAGCAAGTATAATTGATGACTACTGAAATTGAGAGATCATTGCATGATTCTTAATGTGGTGTAAGAGAACTTTAGAGTCAGAATAGTTGTTGCTGCAGGTGGAGCAGTTTAAATGACTTTAAGCATTTATTTGGATAATTATTAAAGAAAATTAGATTCTAACGAAAAAATTGCTATAGCTCAATTTACAAAAGCCTTCCATTTCAAAAATCTTAGCTACCAATTCAGCATTTGATTCTATTGATTTAATCAATATATTGTGAATTTTTACATTAAGTCACAATAATTAGAGGTTGATGAGAAAGGATAAAAATTTTGTGGATTAAAGGTGAAGTTAGACATAATCTTAGTAAAAATAAAAGCTAATAAATAATATTGATAAATATAATTCAATAGATTTGGAACAGAAGCTTTTATTACAATTTGAGAATTGATGATCTAATTAAATTAGAACCAAAAAAAAGAATAAATGCTAGGAAGACATTTAGTCATGAGTATGAATTATAATATTATACTATACAATAAGGAATAAAAGATAATGTTTACAAAAAGAGGTTTTAATGTCCTATTAGTTTCTCGAGCATAATTAAGTAGAGTAGTGCAATCTCTTGTTATATCAAACCTTTCATAATCACAATCTACTTTTTATTCTGTTCCAAAGAATCTAATGGTTGGAAATCCTTCAACCTTATATTTAGTCTTAGCTTTTGATCATTCTACACTAGCATCCATTTTAAGCTACTTTTGCTTCACTTTTGAGAGAGACGTTGCTCATTTAGCCCATTCTATTACAAATTTCTTACTCAATGATTTATATTTTGGTTTTATACAAAGGATAACATAAAAAGAGCGTAAAACTCAACAAAACATGTTATTTTACTATAAAGAATAGTTACATCAAGATTATCTCACTTAAAGGCAAATTAAATTTAATTTTAATTTTATTATACATCCATAACTTAATCACAACATTGATAATTTCTTATGCTTACCTAGATCTTCTCTTACTTAGTCTTTCGAATAAACTCTTAAAGTTGTATCATTTGAAAGAGCTTCAACAGCCAAAGCAACTTAGATTCTTCGTTTTGAACTAAATTCAGAATATTCTATTTTAATCCAGAAGGCATTAAAATCCTTAGCTTTTGCATAAATCATCTTAATAAATTAATGTACGTCTATTCCTTGGAAGCTGCCAAGAATATAACTTTCATCAACTTAAGATAAAAATCTTATTCTAGGAAGAAAATTATTTATATTTTAAGAATATAAACTAAATGACGTGGTCGTTAATAAATCTTCTATTTTTGTATTCTAATGAAACATTATTCATTCATCACATTTAATTAATATTCAAATATTCATCAATTAAACCTTAATTCAAATATTTACAAATTTATAAATGAAATTTTCATAGAATATAATAACCTAAAATTTTAATATATATCAATATATTTTAATGAATCCTAGCACTAATTCAGAACTAACTAATTCAATTCAACTCAAAAAGATTCAAAATATAATATTCTTCTCATATCTATAATTTAATCAAAACAAAACAATTCCTTATAACAACAGCAATAAACCTATCGCTTATATTAAAAGAGCCAATCAAACTTAGACTCTCAATCAACAATAATTCCCTTATTAAATTGGAGAGACATTGTGAAATCTAACAACCAAATAAGAAGATTTTTTTGAAAATTTTGTACTCCAGAAAATAAATACTTCCTTTTCTATTATTTTGAGGATAATATTCCAAAAAATTAGTTCCGAAAATTTAGTATCTAATGTTATTATATAAAAATGATTTAAGTTCATCTAAGATAACTTTAAATGTATGAAAACTATAAATCCTTAACAAATTTAAGAATATGAATAGTAAATTCTATTATCAACCAATATTATTAAATCTAAATTTTCTAAAATCAACAATAATTTAGGAAGTTCTTCACTTTTTGCATGATTAGAGTATTTTCATTTTATTATATATATGGTTATGATAGAGATTTATTATATTTTTTTTAATAAATGAATATTTTTAATAAAATTATTTAGAGTCAATAATTATGAAATCTTTATAAAAAGTAACAATAGTTGTAAGATTATGTAAATCTCCATTATAAATTGCATTAACATTTGAATCTGTAATCGAAAAAAGAAGATTATTTATAATATTAATTTGTAATTCAACCAATATGTATTCTAGGTTTTTAATTTATCAGACATTTAATCCAACATCAATCTATCTTGAACTAACTAAAAATGTTATACTAAACGATCTTACCATAGAATACACCCTTTCTACACCATTCAAGGATGGATGAAATAGAATAATAAATAATGTTAATCTAATTATATGATAACATAGTATTAATTTCAAAACAAACTCTATTGTTGAATCAACTATGGATTTAAAATCCAATACTACAGCCATTATCTATCATCGCTTTTATCTATCATATTGATTAATAATATATACCTTATGACTTAATACTTTTATAAGCTGGAAACATCATAGATACAAATGTTGATAGAAAACGTGCTGTAATTCCTAATACAATACTTGACAAATAATTATTCCACATATAAATACAATATGAGCAGGACATACTCCTATTTTCTTATATGGCCTTTTAGAATCTCTATCTAATCAACATCATTAAGTCCATACCTTGTAATTATTGGGTCAAGTTTATATAATAAAATATTCATTAGGTTAAAAATTAATGTATTTTTTTAATTCATTTTTCATTCTCATTCTCCTGATTATCTTTCTATTCTATCCAACCAAAGAACTTAATTAATTGTTTATAGTTATACCTTCTAATTTCTTCACTCAATTTATTATTTACTCTTTAAACTATTAAGAATTGCATCTCTTAATATGCTCAATAATTCTATGTATTACCCAAATGTGATGTTATTCAATCAATATACTTAGCTAACACTTCTATATGTTTTAATGCCTCTATTTCCTAAAGAAGAAATATTTTTCTCTATTAGAATATCTTTTTTAATGTATGTAGATGTTCCATCAATTACTCTATTAATTCCAATATTACATTCTAATCTCTTTTAAGTGAATCATTTTCTAATAGACTATCAATTATTTTTCATTCTAATGATAATCTCAATTCCTGTACTTGATTTATTAATACTTATAATGCACTTTTCAATTCTTATTACTTATCATTAAAGTATTTCTCATCTTCGATTAAATCATCAGTTAGATGTACTCTTAACTCTTCTACATGATCATTCTAAATCATCATTAATAAATCAGCAAACACTGCATATTAATTATAAACATTAATTTAATTAATTAATCGATTGGGTATTCTAAATAAAATTGTAATTCTATTAAATAGCCTTATTGATAATTATATTTTTAAAATAATCTATATTAAACAAGATGAATCGAATTATAGATATTTAATTTAAATGCAAGAAGTTGTATTAATATTTTTGGTTTTTACATAGTTTTATTAAAAATTCTTTAATATTATTTAAATAAAAATATACTTTTGATATATTGTCAAAGTGAATCTGATGTGAATGCTATATCATAATATTTGTAGTATAAAAGATGGTACTGCAATTGTGCAACAAAGAGTGGTTCACATATAATATTTCATTTGACAAGGGCAAACATAATTAAATTAGTTTACATGAATAAAAAAGAGTACAGATCACAACAATAGAGTGTTAAATTTGTGAATAGAGAGATATGTTCACTTTTGGATAAGTTAATGGTATTATTTATTAAAATATGTATTACATAGTTAAAGTAGATAATGAAGAAAACATCTTGATTCTGTGTAGAGGATGTTTTCCATTGAGACAATCAGATAAAATTAAATGGGATTAAAATGATTAGAAACGACTAATAAGAGTATTTAGGATTAGTTATTGGAAAAAGGAAAGAAATTAAATGTAATTTAACAAATCTCTATATACTGTTAGTCTCGAATGGTTACTTTAGAACGGATAAATCAATACAAAGAGGAAAGAGAGAATAAACCAGGATTAAAATTGGGAGATTTTGATATTGGAATTACATTAAAGTGATCCACTCCCTAATTATACAGATGAAGGTTATACATTTGAATGTATATGGGTGCTAACTACCTTTAAAGAATGTAAATTGGTTTAAAAATCTTTAATTTAAATGAAACTTCAACTAGTAATTATATTTAGAAAATAATATTGGGGAGAATTGACACATTGGTTCCTACAACAAAAATAGAAAATATTCCTTCAAAATTATCGGCTCCAAATTTACCAGATTTAAATGTTTACTAAGCAGATGCAGTTAAGAAGGCATTGAAGTCTCCTTTATCATTAATATTAGGACCACCAAAAACAGGTAAGAGTTTTATGTTACGAGTGCAACTATTGTATATTAATTAGTGAAAGCAATGGAAAAATAGAAGTAAAGAGGATAGATATTAATGTGTGCATCAAGTAAAATTATTTTTGATTAATTGGCAGAATGGCTGAAAAAATGAATAAAACAGGTGTTAAGGTGGTTAGAGTATGTAGTAAGACAAGGGAGAATTGGGTCACAAATGATTAAATTACTATATTTAGATTTGGTTTAATAATTATAGGGAATGCAAGAGTATTAAACAAAGTATATATATGTAATTATTATAGGATAATCTTTGGAATAATATTTTAAATCTTTAGATTTATTGATATACGCTTCATTACCTAATCTGAAACCTTATTAAATGAAATTTAGATAACCTTAAAATTTTTTTCCTAAAAGACGTAATAATACTTTGAATGCTATTAAGTGATAAGAGTGTATATTCATATATAATTAGATAATCTTAATTAATTTGATCAGAATTTAATTTTATACCTGATACATAAGTATTTATTAAAGTTGCTGATTAAAATGAAAAAGAAAGAATTAATATTCAAAGGAGATATAATAAATATTGGATAATATTCTTCACCAATAATGTTAATTGGAACATTTTAGAATGATTTATAATTAGATATTTGAGAGGGGAGGGTTTAATATATATAATAACATTTTTATAAGACTTTTATTTTTAAGAAGTAATTTAACTTTTTAATTCAATTTAAAACTCTCTCTTTCATCCTTTCAAGGATTACATCTAGAAGTTAGGATGTTGTTGATATTAAAATACCGAAGCTATGAGGAAACTCTTTCTTACATAATTTTATGTATTAAATTATTAGGAGGTAAGAATATCAATTATTTTTTCAGCTTGTGAAATGGTTCCAGGGAGATATTGATATTGCTTAATTGATACATTTAAATGCTTCTACCCGTTCTTCTAATATCATTGAACTAAAGAATTAACAATAATAAAAACATTTACAGAGTATAAATTCATATAATTCAATGATCTATTTCCAACTTTTTCTCTTTAATCAATATTAATTTTTGAAAATAATATCCTAAGATTTTTGCTAAATTAATTTTTTTCATACTTTTTAATAATTAGCCTATCTAAATTTTTAAGAGTATTTCTTAATCCCGTAATCAATAAAAAGTTATTTATCATTATCAACTAAAATAACAAACAGCATTAATATCTTTATATACATAAGAATTGAACTGAAAATATCAACTTTTTATTTAGTACTTTGGTTAAGTTCTAAATTTTCATCATCAATTTCCTAAAAAGACCAAGTATAAATTTTTCTAATTTCTTGATTAAACTAATCTTGATTTTAAATTACTTATATTCCAATAAGGATGATAAACTCAGGCTTTATATTCACCTCTTCTCCATTTATAATGATAATTCCTTCATTTTTTGTGGAGTTACAATCAGTTAATTACTCAATATTTAATCTTTACTAAGATTACATATTTATAAAAAAATTTCTCAATTCACAAAAATGATTTCTTTCTTTTTTAAATTAATTTATCGAAAAATGAATAGATGGAAGAGCATTTGTTTTAAATTAATTTATTTGTAAAATTAGTTGTGAAATTTCTAACCTAATTTTTGATATAAGATCATCAGGAAATCTTTACATGGAACTAACATAAACTCTTTGTTATTTTAATCAAACTCTACCATTTATTAGTTTTGTATTTTAGAATAACGCTTTAACTAAAATGAAAATTCTAATTAAAAACTTAATTAATTTAATCCCTAAACAATTTCATATAATTAAGAAGTGAAAATTTAACATTTTATTTTTCATAAACTAAAATCAAACTAAGTTTTAAAGAACAGATTTATAGTTAAATTTTGTACTTTGCTTATCAATTACTTAAAAATTATCCAAATTTTAACAAAAACAAATTTAGACAATTGAATTGAATAGGTTCATTTATCTCTGAGTTTTATAGCATCAATTTAAATATTATTATAGTTATGCATTGTCATACGGTCCTAAACCTATTTTTGATTCCGCACTTAAAATTTAAATTGTCTAAAATAAAGACAACGAAAAATAATCAGTTAGCATAAAGCTGGGAGAAAATAGTAAAAAGTGATAGTTTAAAATATGATTTTTATTAGGTTAGTTTTTTAATAAATAATATTTTTGCTTATTTATTTGATTTCTTGATTTAATTCTTTGTCTGATTTAAATAGATTGTAAGTTGAATTGAATAAATTAAGAATTATTATTATAACTAATTTTGTTAGGTCTGTTTTAATGCAGCTAGATTTGATTATTCTTATTATGATCTTTGCTATAAGCTTTATAAAACTTAATTCCAGTTCAGTAATCTTATAAATTATGAATAAATTGCAATTGAGATGATAAGAATATATTTTGTTTGAGGTTAATTTTACTGTTATTTAATAAATCTCTTATATAATATTGTTATTAGTAAACAATTTAATATTATTGTTTAATAT